GGGGGGCGGTGTTTGGTTGTTTGTATTTCTTTTAAACCGTTGTGTCAGGACAGTTAGTGGCAAGCTTACTGCACAAATCATCCATCTGCAGTTGTCATTATGAACAACAATCGATTCTGGGTGTTTCAATTCCCTCCTCGGAAATGTTAACAGAAGAAGAGGAATACAGCATTTGCTTTCCAGTATTTATGGGGAAGTTAGCTGAAAACAAAGCCTTAGACAGGATGTGCAGTATTCCCCTACCTAGCATTTGCTCTGCTGCTCCCCAGTCCGTTTTTGACTTTAGCATTAATCGTTTGCATGAGAACTTTTTTTTAAACAAAATTCAATAATTTACAATATTGAAGTATATCAAACACTAAAATTTCCCTCATTTACAGAAGTGTCTAATTTTCTGTGCATACATACTGCTGTTATGTACACACAAAAGGAACAGGTCATCAAAAGAACTTTTTAGCTGCTGCTTCTTGTTGACTCCTGAAAAAAAAAAGCAAAAAAGAACTCAGTAAGTACTTGTAGCATAAAAGGAGCTAACTTTTTAAAATAAATATGTCATTTATTTGGGGCTTTTAAGATTGCATTCCTTGTTAACAGAGACTTAGGGAAATCAAACACAAGTCATATTGAAAAAACAGGAGGTACTTTTTTTCTATTTACAGAGAGATTGGCAGCATCAGACACAGAAGGAAACAAAACATTCTGGACAGAAACTAGAAACTGAAAGAACATAGGAACCAATTTTTAAAGTAAGTAAAATTTTCTAAAAGCTTCTCAGTATCTGATTGGCGTAAAGAGTGTCAGAAAAAAAGGAAATACAAGCAACTGAAGAGTGAAAGAATTTACTTGAAGCGGGATTTCCTTTTTCCTCTAGCACAGTAAGTATTTATTTCCTACAGATCAATGACGCACAGATGCTAGAATTACAAGGGCAACAAAAAGAACTGGAGGGGACCAGCTCCTCGCTTTGCAGGTGATGGCATAACGTGACATTTTTTTTCCACTTTGCAGAGCAGCAGAGACACAATGAAAGTCGGTGCTACTAGTGGCACTGCTCTTACATTAGTTATTTCTTCCACAGAGGGAGCAAACGGCACTTTCTCTTTAAAAGGCAATGCAGCTATTTTGGTCCCTACTCCTGAGCCTGATTAGTGTGGTGAGAAGCGGGAGGGGAGGGAAGACAACCGAGCGAGTCAGCCCTCACTCTCAATAGGTTTTCCTTCCCGTCAATGCAAATTAAATGTGACCATTATGACATTACAAAGAGGAGGAAGAGAACAGAGAAAACATCCCAATTAGTTTAGAGAGAAACTAACTTAGGAGAGGGATGAAGGGATATGTGTCAAACGAAGTTCACTGAGGAATGTGTAAGAGGGGATAGGTAGGTTGTAGCTACACAGGGCAAAACAAACAAACAAACCAATCACATCGAACTTTGTTAAGACATTAACAAACTCCAGTAAGTTCATCAGAGGACCACAAGGATGGTAGTCTGAAGAGAAGAGAGGGAGGCAGCTCGGCTTTTCCACCCTGGACAAAAGACTTGATGGAGTCTAACAGCAGCTCTCTAGTAACCACAAGCTGCTACTGAGGGGACAGGGATAGCTCCTTCAGAGAGATGCTGTTGTAAGAAACAGACACAACAGCAAACTGAAACAGGCCACTTTCCACCAGATACATTGTTGGGGTGGCGAAAGAATAAACCAAACTGCATTACAATAATTAAACATTTCAAACAGGGTTTATAACAGTGGTGAATTTTCCACTCTTGGAGGTTTTTAAGACCTCTCCAGTCTAAACACGAAGCAACCTGGTCTGAATTCAGTGCCAGCCCTGCTCTGAGCAGAAGGTTGAACTAGAGACTTCCTAAGGTCTCTTTCAATCTGAATGATTGCTTTTTTTAAAGAAGATTAACATAATCATACAATTGCAATTGCATTTCCAGTCAGTTGTTCTGAAATAATTTACCCTGTTGTCTTCAAACAAAACCATACTTACCTATACATGATATAACCAATGAATAGCACTGTTTGCACTGCTACAAATACGAAGAAGTGCATTGTAGATAAGCACGATGGAAACGGTGGCAAGTCTGGACACTTTGATTTCTCACTAGAAGGCTAAAACCCAAGAAAAGTAGTATTTGAGAAAGGAGCAAATGACATGCCATCAAAAGACTGTTGCATGAAGACACAAAACAAGGTCTCGGCAACATATGCTAAGAAACAGGTCACAAGCAGAAAAGATAGGAATGACACTACTCTGAAAAACCATCATCTCACTCCTCGTCTCACCTTCTCCTTTCATCCTTATGTTTCTCAGATAAATTGATTGATGTTACTTTGAGTGTTACAGGGGAAAGAATAAGTCTCTGGTAAATTAAACCAGAAATCAAGAACATTTTATGGGATCATAAGCTAATTCAGCCTAATCGCTACCTAGGCTAGGCTAAGGTGCTCCTGAATGTGAATGTCGTCATCTTGCACACTTAGAGACTTTAAGCAGAGCCTGCCCGAGTTTCCCCTGATTAAAGCTCTCCCTTCTGTGCAGAGGCAATAGAGAATATCCTCTGTATAGAGCTGGAGGGACAAACACAAAAAAAAGCATGCAGAAAACCTAATTGCTTGACCTTGTTTCCACAGGAATTAGACTAAAAATCGTGCTCTTTGTGCAAAACTTCTCATCAAGACACAGATCATGCAGTTAGGTCAAGGCAGTGCCGTTTTAGCGAAGCAGCTTAATGAAGGATTAATTGCTCCGTAAATTGCATGCTGGCTCATCCTAGCTTTTCACTAACAGCCAAATAAAGAAGTGTTGCAGCCATGCTTTACACTACCAGCACATAAATTACCATATTTCGCTGTACTAAATGCTCAATGTCCCTCTTTACGACGTGAAGGTGTTCTTTGATGTCATTGAAGTGCTGCGTTGTTTCGTAGACTCCTGCAGCAGAGCCAGGATGTTGAGCTCCACTGATCAATCTCAGAGTATCAGCCATGGAATTTCTGAAACAAGGCAAACAACAAAACATCTTTCAGTACAGAACAGCTCTTCTACAAACAGCAGCTATTCTAGAACCTTTCAGTCTGTTAAAATCAGTTTGAAATACATAGCTGCCCCAAAAGGCAGAAAACATTTTTTCTGGCTTCTGAGAATACCTATCAAGAAATAATTCCTTAATCAAACTCTGATTTTGTAAAATATTTAAATCCGCAGACAGTTTCAATTTGTACAGCACACCATCTCCCAAAGTCACGCTGAAAACAAGATCTGGCAAATATTCTGTTGCTAGACATCTGTTTTGCCTGGCTGATGAAGTCTAAACCAAGTGTTCTATCTGAGGCTCTTGCCAAGGCTTTAGGATAAGCAGAGTTTAATGCAATCTTTGAAGAAAACCAAAAGCCTTTTGAAAAAAAAAATAAAAAGCAGTCATGTAAGAAATAAAAATAAAGAAGAGGCTTTAGGGATAAGAAAAGATTTAGATACATCCTTGTTTCATGATTATCATTTATATGAGAAACTCATTTCCCATTGTCATAGTACTTAATACGGTCTTCATATGAATTCATTTTGCTTCTACAACAAATCAAATTAAATCTGTAAAAAGTTGGGGTTCCATAACTAATTTTGTTTGAGGTAAACTAGTCAATGAGAGCAAAAAACTTAATCTCTAATCAATATGTTTACATAATTTTCCCCTACTGTGATGTTTCTTTTCAGCTGCAAAGAGGATTATTCCAAAATATTTATCATGTGAATGTTAATCTCTTCATTATTGACAGAATAATAATCAAAATATATGTCCTTGGATTTCTTTTTAATTTACTTAAAACTTCACATTTTGTTCAGATGCGAGCTTACTTCAGTGCCTTCAAGGTGCAGTCCTAACTCTTTGTACAGTGGTCAGCAATTTGTCATAGACCGGGTCCAGTTGGAAGGGACCTTTAAAGATCATCTGGCTCATCCCTATGTAATTAACCGAAATCTGCACAGCCACCTTTCCCCAGATTGATCTGCTGTTTAAAAGCAAAATAACTTTCCTAGACATGGTCTGTATCAAATTTAATTTACATTTCCTTTTGCATGAACAAAGCATGCTGATAGTTTCTATTGTATGAACACACAAGATTCTTCTGTAATCAGATGATTAAGAAAGCCACAAATCTTGACAAGAAAATTACTTAGACAGTAAGTCCTTCTCCTCTGGGATGACCAGCAATGCAACAGTGGGCTGTTCATTTCTATCTATAAATAAACCTTTTCTTTAATCTAAGAAAAGTATTAAGATGATGTTACGCAAACTCATACCTAATAAACAGTCGCTAAAAGGGCAGACTGCCAATGTTAACAAGAAAATCTAATTTGCTTGCGAGGTATAAAGATTTGTCAAGAATATTAACATAAAAGCTTTTGTGGAAGAACAAGTGCAAAAATGGAAGCACTCTAATCTTCATTCTGCAAAAAACCTGACCTACTTAGATAAATCACAAGAGCTGCCCTCAAACTAATACAGGAAAAAAACCACACCACGACTGTAGGAATTGGTTTTCTCCTTTTTTCAAGCCCAAGGTAGGGAATATTTAACTAGAAATGAAGGGTTAAACCAACTTAAAGCCATTGCTGCTAAAGACAGCAATTGTAAAATGCCTCAGAAGCAGTAAACAGACATCCCTGTCAAACCTAGAAATTTTCTCAAATCCATTTCACCAGTAGAGCATATACCCCCTTCAAGGTAAGATTTTTACTTCATTTGGTAATGTAATTTGAAAAGCTACAGCATACCTCTCAATCGATCTTTAAAAAGCCATCTTAAAAAGCAAAATCATTATTATTAAACACCTGCACTAGCTGTAGTGAGCTGAGGTTGGTCTCTTCTCCTAGGTAACAAGCAACAGGACAGGAGGAAACGGGCTCAGCTTGCACCAGGGCAGGTTTATGTTGCACATTTGGAACAAGTTCTTCATGGCAAGGGCTGTCGAGCCCCGAAGCGGCTGCCCAGGGCAGCGGCAGAGTCACCATCCCCAGAGGACAGTGACTCCTACCGAAATAATAAATAGGATTTTAAAAGTGCAATATAGTATAAAATTCAAAACACAGTCTTAATATTTAGAAAGCACCTACCTCATTTCATTTACTTGTCTAATGACCTCTTCTTGATTTTTCACAACTGTCTCAATCTCTTGCTGGGAACCCTGGTGAGGGGAGCGGAGGTGGGGAGAGAAAGATCTTAGAAAAAGCAAATTGATCACGCTGCTGAAATTAGGCTGAGCTATCTATTACGATGTATTTTTAATTTTATTTACCTGTCCTTGTTGACCTGGAACACCAGCTCCCCTTTTAGCAATCTCATCTGTGACTGCAGAGACGTATCTCCTCTGCTCATCCAGGATCATGTCCAATTGCCTGTTAAGCTGTTTGATTTCAAGATGAATTCGATTCTGCCCCTCAAAGATCTGCCTCAGTTCTCGATCACTTACAGTTTCAAAAATATCATCCGCTGATAAGAAAAAAGCACAGGTGGTTCTTACACATATGCATTCCTTCTAAGTTGCATTGTATTATTCTTCTTGCATCCTTAAAACTTTCTGCATGGCTATACTTTTTTCCCCTGTAATTCAATATATTTGGTGCTTATTTATCACTATTGCCACAGCAAAGGATACCCAAATGGGATCAGGACAACTGAACACACTGAAACCCACACTCCCTCTTTGAGATCCTATTTAAATACTTGGGTAACGTACAACACAAAATGGAAAAAGGATGCTGCGATTACTAGGAGGCCGCTAGCTAATTTCATGTCTAGATGCCTGAACTACATTCCTGATACACGTCCATTCAAATACAGCTAATTCAACCCACAAAAGCAAGAAGTAGACTGGCTTCTGTTATATTTTCAAATGAACAGATCCCTTTTTGCCCAACTCTAAAGAAAAAAAAAAGTAATTAGAAAACCCCAACCCACGTAAACAACATCAAAATCTGCTGAGACCTGCAGGTGCGTGGTATCAATAACGGAATGGGTGTTTCTGCCTTTCCGAGCCAAACTTAAATTTCTTATCAATAGTCCTAGTTCTGAATATCCCAGAAAGCCAACATTTCCCTTGATAACTGAAAAAGTGCTCAAATAACTTGCCTGGCTGCCCTTGCACATCAGGATGTTCCTTTTGAAATTCTTCTTTCTTTTTATCCAATTCTTGCTGAAAGTGTTCAAACTCTTCTTGATACTTCTCTTTATCTTTTTGAGGAATTTCTGCATCTGGTGTTGGCTTTAAAACAAAGCGGGGGAAGGAGAAAGAGATTTTTTTATGTTCTCTACTATTACTATATAACTCATTTTCCAGCAAGGCTGTTCAGATTTCAGATTTGAAGACATAACACGATGAGTCAACACTTTAAAATACTAAGTTGAACTGAGAAACCAGACATTCCTATGGAGACCCACAGCTTTTTTCCCTAATACGTTCATACTTTCTGCAATTAAAACAAAACCAAGTTTTACAAGGATATATGCTGTTTACAGTACAGAACTGTTCCAGAGGTACAGGAAGTTGAAAGCAAGAACAGGTTATCTGCCCACTTTCCAAAGAGAGTGTACTTTTTAAATTGAATCAATACAGAGAGAAAGAACTCTGGTCTTGAAAACATTAATTAATACATTACTGAAACATTACAGTATTAGACTCATTTTTCTAAAAAAGATGCCAAAATCCTGAAACAGGGACACCAAGTATGACTGCAGAGGAAATGCCATAATGTGGTGCTACATATAAAATGTATGCAATAACATATTTTACTAATTATGCACAAAGATGCTTACTACTTCCTTCCCAGGCTCGGTCAACTGGAAGGTCAGAAAAGACAGGACATCATGATCATCTAAAACAAACAGACAAAACAGAAAAACCCTGTGAATCGTTACTACTACACACGGCAAATCCAGGTGTTGCCCAAGTCAACCTTGCACCCACAAAGGATCTTCAGGCAACGGCAAAAGAGCTGACGCTGCGGGGAACGACACGCCACAACGCCGTCGTCAGGACAAAGTGGAAGTCCTTGTGCTCTAAGCAGGAAAAGGCCTCAGCGTAGCAGTTACTGAGGCATGGGAGAGGATTAATTACATCGTTGTCATCACAATACTGGTATAATAGACCAAAACTAGCAGTAAAAAAATAAAAACACCCCTCTTGCAAGCCCCACATGTCCCCACTCCATTTGTCACAATTTTTAACATCTGCTACCTGCAAGTCCCCCTGTTGCTGCAGATACTCCAAAATATCCTTGTGGTGGCAACACCATATCTTCCACTTTGGCACAAAATTCATAGTCGTCTTTATCCGGAGTAAAGCCATTGTTAATTAATACCTAAAAGGGCAAATGTTTTCAAGTGTTACCACATTAATCTGTTTGTGTTAATTGCTTTGTCAATTTACAGTCATGGTCACAAATACGACTTATTGAGTATACACCCCAGTAAGGTTCTGGGCAACTCAAATTTTTCATCTCATCTAGAAGAGCACTCCTTTGCTTTTCTGAAGCTGATTCTGAGCTTGGAGAGACGCTCCCTCTACAGAGGCATCTGCAGAGCTGCTAAGGTTAGCAGCAACGTTTGGGCCAGAGGAGTTCCAAGGTAAGGAATCGGGGACCAGGAGTATCTAAAAAATGAGCAGACTCAGAGTCTGAAATTTAATTTTCATTGAAGAATAACAGATAACTTCTGCCGTTGCAACATAGTTCAAAGTCCACCCTCTTTTAGGTTCATTCCTGTTTACTTTTTAGAGAAACTTTTACTATAAAATGACAGCTGTGTGTTTTATGGGCAATAGCTAAGAATAACACCTTTTCAGTAGAAATTAGAAGCTGTCACAATCCAGCACCACATTACTGTTTTTCTCTCCTTGGAATTCACAATCATCTGAATAGTACTTAAAAAGTCTTGAAGACTCCCTTATACCAGTGGTTTCTATCTTCTTGAATCTTCAAAGCCCTACTATTTCCTGGAGGTGGAAAGCCTTAAGTAGCAAATTTGAATCTACTATCAAAGAGTGAGCTTCAGTTTTTCAGTCACATCTCAAGAACCTCTTACAATCAGCTAGAAAAGCCTCTACAGCTCTCAGATCAGCTGGAGAAATACTGTTCAAGTTACAGACCTGCTCAACCCCCTGGAAGCTGAGGAACAGATGCTACTGGCTTTGGGACAGCTCTACAAGCAGGTCATCAGACAACCTGCGAGTACATTCGCACAACCGATTCTGAGCTCAACATTTTCAAGAATATTCGGAATTAACGACATGGGGTCTTTGGCTTTTCAAAGAGTTGCAAAAATCTCGCACTCAAAAAGCTTACAAACACAAGTACAGAGTACTTACAGTCAGTGTTTTTTGGTAGTAAATTATCTTTACTCGAACAGGATAGGGCTTGTTACGGAAGTCCCTCTGACAGGATGCCAGTGCTTGCGTGGAACCATCACTATGCAAGAAGACAGCTTGCATAAAACTGTATCTTAGGACTTTCCAGTTAAGACAGAAAAGCATCACTGAATCACATCATGATAGTTTTTCAATACGCAGGGTTTTCAAAGGCTGTCCCACAGCCCCACTGAGCTTTTCTGAAGTCTGGGATCAACAGTGCAAGATGCTTTACACGGGACACAAGAGAGATAGAACGCAGGAACAGGGAAATCTGTTTGCTTTTAAGATAACAGCCCCACACTTGTGAACTGAAATATCCTGCGCTGGTGAACTTGGAAATAAGCCACAGTCTAGACTACACCAGCTAGGCTAGATACTTCTCAGAGAACCCAAAGATGTGTCAGTTCTGCTGTTGACAATAAACAATTATAAATCAAAATTAAACCAATTCATTTCAGTAACAGGCAGTTAGCTTTCAGTGAGTCACTTCTGTCAGTTATTAGCTGCGTGTGGAAAATACCCGTAAGCAATGAAGAGGTCAAAAGTCTGTACCTCCATTTATCTGAGTTCGCCCATCCCAAAGGACATATGCCATTTAAATATCCACCAGTTGCTAATTTCTGTGCTGTTACTGCCAAAACCATGTTTTAACAAATTGAAAAACTCAAGTGTAAAGGAAACAACGAAGTTTCATATGAAAGAAACCTTCATAATGTTTCTCAAAGGAGCTTCATGCAACGTTTCATTCAAAAGGAAACAATCATCGTTAAACACTGAAAATAAACTTACTTCTGATGGTCGTACAGAAGTTTTCCATTGTTTCCTACAACGATCACACCAGGATTGTTTTTCTAGAAATAAGAAACAGCAAACAAATGGCATAGTTTAAACTGAAATGAAACGTAGGTAATGTCACTGATAGCTTTCCTGCAATAAAGCACCTTAAGTCATTACGCTGCAGATACACAAATGTTTTTATTCTCTCTGTACTTCAGGATTACATAAGCACAATGCCTGAGAAGCACCGTGTCATGTTGCATGCTTTGCAAGACACTGCTGCATTCTCTGCATGGTTATGGATGAATAAAAGCACACAAATTAAGTTTCTGGATACACCACCAATTACCATAATCTGACAATTACAGAAATACAAAAGCCGCAAACAGGAGAAATTCAAATGTAGTGAAGATACAAATCTTGAAACTAACAGGTGACTTAATACATCCCACTTTGGCTACATAACACTGGGGAAAACACGTTCACATCCTACTGACCTTGTCACAGTCATTAGACAAACCCCAGGAGCCATAACAAAGCCTGTTGAACACATTATTTGAATTGCTAGAGGACGAGAATGAGCTCAAATGGTAATGGCAGATTTACAGTGCTATTCTGGTTGCCTCCAGGAGTGTATGAAGAGAACCTCAGTTCTTACAAGAGCACAAGATTTTCCCAGTTAATCTCCCTTCCCCTTCAGCACTTCAGTTCATCATCTCCCAACGTGTACTGTGTTTGGCTGGGATACAGTTAAATAACTCTTGTGATATTTAGTGTGGTTGGTACAATTTCAGGTGTTCAGAGCTATGAAATTGCATTTCTCTTTTTACTCGCCACTATGTCCACAGAGAAATAAAAAAATCAACTCGAGTACAACTACAGCCTTTGAAGGAAGAGAAAAAAGGCTTTGCGGTTTTCAAATCAGCAGGACAAGCAGGGTGCTCTGAGCTGGTGGCACTAGATGAAGTCTGCTTCTGGGCGCTACCATATGAGGCTGAGGCCCAGTTACAGCACCAGACATGTTCCAGTGAACACACTGAAACAGCAACAGGAAGAATTTCTCCATACTGGGACTGAAAGTAACAGGTGACCATTAAAAAAAGTCTCACAAACTCCAGTATTTAAGACACGTCAGACCAATACAGGCATGATGAAGACTTTCATTTTGACTAGAAGTAACACATCATCGTTTTCTAAAGGAGGATTTCGCATCGCACCGGCTAAACTCGTGATCAGAGTCCCCTTTGTGCTATCGAAGTCCTGGCAAATGGTGTTGTCCACATACAATTTCTGGTAGATGGTATCTTCAGCCAGCTAAACTACACCAGTGTCCATATTCGTGGAACATGATGTAGAAATTTGTGTTTCCACGTTGCATTTTGGTACAAAAAGCCTCTTCCAAGGCACACACTGTCACATGTATCAACATTTCAAATTGTGCACATTCCAGATTTCAGCTTGAACATATGTATATGTACGCGATATTCTCCCTCGAAACCTAACACATGAACTAATGTGTAGTGGAGATTCATTATTTGTTATGCTTCAGCTGTCAAGCTTAAAAAAAAAAAAAGGTGTGAAAATGTCTAGCAAAAATTCTGTATAAGAAACTTGACTATTGTAATTTATCCCTTCCAAGTGAAAAGGAGGACAGTAGGAACGTAGCATCCTTTTTCATTCCACAAAGGTATATGCATAAAACAGGCAGGAAATTAATTTATAATCTTTGCTAGAAGAGTTTGATTCTGACTAACCTTTCCATCATTGTCAAAGGAATCAAAGAAAATTCCAACGCCATTCCATTTGTCAGCTGCCCCAAAAACAGGACCTTCCAAGCCTTGCTCTTCTGTGAACCAGATTGCCTGTTACAGAAAGCACGTAAGAGGTGTAAGTCAAGATTCACTTTCTAAAGCATGCTTTTTTTCTTGTTTCAGTAAAATCCAATTCTTAATACCAATCCATCAGCTCCAATGCGGCCTCGTCCAGTAACTCGAAAGGTCACTTCGACTTCCCAAAATTCAAATATTGACTTGTTCTTTGTCCACACTGACCCTCTTTGGCTTTTCAAAGACGTCGTTATACGAATCTGGTCCGCACTCGGTATGGCATCTGGAAAGGAAAAGAACCAACACAAAATACGTGAAAGTATTGCAAGTGCTTAACTAGACAATCAAATCTTCCAAACTCACAGTCTTCTGGTCTCCTCAGCCAGAGGACAGTTTTCAGAATAACTTCTTAATGGAGTACCGAACAGCTGGAGAGAGGGGAAAAGAAACAAACCGCCACGTTTTTACTTTGAACAACTTGATTACTAGTGTTTTACAGAGCACTTAAACAGCTTCCGCTTGGGACCACGACACACCACTTAAACAGACCATCGGTCTCGCTGTTATGGTATGTACTGAACTAAATAAAAAAATAGTCAGGCTTAGCTTTCTGCTGTGTCCCACATAACTCTTCACAAGTCACAGGTTCCTGCTCGGTTTTTTAAGAACAGATGCTCTAATTTTCAGTTTAACAGCCTAAAAGAACAACAGGCACACATTTGCAGAGAGATTCATTCACTTTTAGTAGACAGCATTTCGTGATTATCTGCTCTGGAGAGCCGGGAAAGGCCCCTCTGAAGGGGGTTTCCTTCATGTCGCTGGAGCGTAAGGTCCAACGAGTCAAACCGAACACTCACGAGCCGGCCCGCACACGCCGAGCTAGAGCCTGCGACAAATGCCAGACCAGGGCGGAAGGGACAAACCG